ATATATATATATATATATCTTTAATGAGCTTGTTGATATGCAAAATTGCTTCAATAAACAGGGCCCTGTACGGAAAGCATTGCAACGAGAGCATGAATTCTGCGCTGAATGCCGTCTGAGTGATGGAGCAATATATTTTTTGAATGCTGAAAAAATTTCGGTTTGTTCCTTCAAAAATTGCATTTTATTATAGTACTAAAGAAGAGATTTTATTCACGAAATACATGCGAAAATTCCGACAGATATTTTTCTGTTCAGAACGATTGCAGTCGTTCGGTGTTAATTAAAGCAATAATTAATGATTATTGCTGTAATCAATCGACAAATTGAGTTCCACTTGCAATCAACGACATGATTCATTGAATTTTCATCCATCCAACAAAAAAAACCAATCAAATGAAAGAGCATAATTTGTGAAATTGCAGCATTTTTCTCGAAGCGACACTTTGCCAACAGAAGACGACATTGTTCACGCTAGAGATCCGACGTCTGGTCTGAATTATTATCATTTTCGAGTGCATAAAATGCGTGTTGAGATACATGACATGGGTGGACAAATGGTCGAAAGGGTATTCTTTATAAATTCGATTTTCATTCCTCGTTCATCCTCGATAATATAGATAAAGAATTAGTGCTAAATTGAATTAATTCATCATAATGAATGAGTGGATTCACTTTCATATACGAAAACATTTCATGCGTCGATGTTCGATATAGATTACACATCATTTGTCACGCTCATTTGAACATTGCTTGAATAATTGTCATAATTCACGCAAGCGCTCTGAAGAGAGCACTAGTCATTAGAGAATTTTGTGTATTTCAGAAGAAAGTTCTTGACTTTCTGACACATTGGATATCGGATTCGAAACCGAATTATCGTAATTTTATTTTATACGTCGTATCGATGGCTGACTATAACATTGTACATCCCACTAATCCTCAATACACGCTTCTCGACGAAAGTGCTGCTTTCATGAAGGTATCATTCATTCAATGCAGTCAATCCTTGTGTAACATACGAATGAGTTTATGATTCAATAATCTCGTTCACATTTAGACACCATTTGAAAATTCTCTGCACACTTTCCAGCATAATAATGCCAGCACATGAAAAGACATGGTTTTGTTTGAAGCACTTGTAAATATTTCAGTTCAGTCAAATCAGTCAGCCAATAGAAAAGTTTTTAATATTATGCTATCCGTGTCACAATATTCTCACAAAGAAATTCAAGCGAATAGTTTTCGTTTGATCATTATTTTCATAAAATTTAGCATTGATTTGAGTTGTGGATTTCAATCCACAATATTTTGGGATATATGAAACGAATGATTTAAAACAAATGGGGCCTTTTGTGCGTGATGTGAACGGGCGTAGAAATGTAATATATACATGGTTAAATGATCTCTTTGAATCGTTCTGATCGATTTGCGAGAAGATTAGCTAAGATGTGAATGGACAATCACAATCACTGTCTCAAATTTGCTTGCTTGCAGGCGATCTTGAATTTGAGTCCAGTTCAAGAGTGCGGTTTCCTGATCTTCTTCAATAAATCGGATATTTTTAGAACGCGAGTTTTAGATGCACAATTAAAACCAGATTTCAGGCGATTTCTTAGTGCTTATATCAAAGCGGATGCTCTCAAAAAATATGAAAGCGGTGAGTTTGAAACTATTCCACTTTAACTAATCCCTAAGAATGAATATTCTCACAGTTATACTTTTGAAGCCAAACAATGAGAAACATTTTAAAAGTTGATTGGTTTCTAATTAATCGTTCAAGAAGGATGCGATTAGATTAGATATCGACGCATCCACGTTTCGTTTCTTAGAATGATCAATAAAGTCATCATCTCAATTCATAAAAGTCTCATTTCAATTCGTTTTGTCGAATTCGTTTCATCGAAACGATGCAAATATTGATGAGCGTTGAAACTCGAAGAGAAACAACGCAATCAATAGACAGACGTTCATTGGCAATGTAAATTGGCGATTCAAAAATCTTTCACAAGAAAGCAAAAAACATTAATAATTCACCTTCTTGCTGAAAATTTTCGTTTTGCAATAATAGAATTAGTGAATAATAGGAAATGTTCACAGTTATTATTGGCAAAAAGTGATTTTCATCGTGGTTTGACTGACTGCTTGATGTATGTATTCACATGTCAGACAATTGTGCAAACGGCAATCCATATGAATTATCGCAAATCATACAAAAATATCCCTACAAAACTGATTCTCAATCATTTGTTCGTGATTCGTTGTCGTTTATTGCTACGAAATATGTCATTCATTTGCTTGCTTTTATGATATGTATACATATATAAAATAAAGTACATTTAGTCTTGAAGTTTCTCTCAAAATTCGACACGAATTAGAAGGAAAAATTACTATTGTTAAGGTAACACTGTGAAAATTGATGTTCTGAATAATGCGATTGCGAAAAAATTCGCCGATTCAATCAACAATATTCCTGTGAAACGAAGAGCACCAGTTTATCACAAGTAAGAATGTGTTGTTCTTGGAATAATCCTTATGGAGTAAGCTTGGTTAGGTGGATTGCGTGTCGAGCATCTACGACGTTTCCAGGGCCTCTGGTCCTCTTTCAGCCTCCGGATTTGAGTTTGCTCCTCCCGATCCAACTGGATTATTGTGAAGTGTCGATTGTGTCTTTTCAGCTTTACTATTAGTAAAAACAATTGGTATTGTTGAGA